GTACCAATAATAACTTACGAATAATAATAATAATAATAACAATGAATACACACTTAGGATATTAATACTTAATTACGACATTCTTATCATTAAAACAACGAAGATGTAAAAGAAACCGATTCTGGAAGATCCAAATGTGGTCGATAGGGATACTGATGATAGAAGGTTGGATTGGGAATCAGTTTGCGACGAATACGGCATGGACCTTCGGTGGTGTCCAACGCGAATTTATCTAACGACGAGCCTATTTGTGGACCCCAAAGTCCTCGTTCACTATAACAACAACATTATACTGACACTAAGTGCACTAACAGTCTGAATGAATGAAACAAAAAAGAACCGAGTTAGTTCAGCCTCGAGTGCGTGCCACTCTTGCAGACACCATTTCTGCACGTGTGAATGCCATTCATGATATCGAACACACTGTGCACGCACCAATTCACGTATCAACGACGTGTGCACTCGTATCCACATGTGAACAACCTGAACATAGATATTCTGCGCTACTTATCGCACTGCTAACTGTCAACTCATTTCAACTGGAACAAAGACGAAGGTTATTTTGAAGGTTTACCTAAGGATTCGAAATATTTTTTTTATTTTTTTTGGGGAGGGGGGGGGAGGGGGTAACTTCTAACCACAGGAAAGGTGAAATGCTTAAAACAATCGTGCAGTTGAGTGAATGAACGCTTTCGAACAAACCTCAGTACTTATATTTGGTGGACGCCAAACAGATGCACACATTGAAGTGGAACTTGACGTACTAAGCGTTTTACGACTTGTTAAACGTTGCAAACCACTGGCCACTTTGGTTATCTTCTAAAACAAAACTCAATAATCAATTCAATGAATTAATTGTTCGTTCGCATGCAAAATGCCTTTGTGGTTACATCTCTGTTCTACTGAATCAATGATCAAAACTGAAATTTTATGAAGATGATGATGAAGACGATGATTTTCTGCATTAATATCGTTAGGTGTGCGTAAATGAAAGAAACGAGCAATGAAGTGATTCCTTATCAATAACGAACCGATTGTATTTGCTGCTGTATTTGAACGATATTACGAGGTGTTGACGAGTTCACTTGCGCATCGACGAACGCCAACCACTGCAAACTGGCTGCATGTGAAAGAAGTGCTCGTGCAGCGTTCAACTCACACACGAAACCACGCTTGAAAATATCCTCCAAGATATTTCGCTTTGCATTACACACTTCTTGCCATACTCGTGACGCACATAATGCTACCTTAACATCATCATCATCATCTTTACCTTTTCACTAACAATGATCATAATAATCATAATTATAATAATAATTATAATCATAATCATAACCATAATAATAATAATAATAAATAATAAATAATAATAAATAATAATAAGTAATAATAATAATAACATCAATAACAATAATAAAATAACAATTATATAAAAATGAGTGGAATTATTTATTGGAAATAAGATGCAAAACGCAAAACACAGCGAGCTTTACATTTGCAAAAGATACCTGTGCACTTCCATTATCAAGTTGTGATTGCTGTCGTTCGCTGGGTAAGATATCTGGTGTAACGGACAACATGAACAGTAGATGCGTGAGTGCACCAAAGAAGAGTGGATCGTTATGTGTTGGCGACAGAACAATCGCACGATTTGCAACCACTTCACATAGAGTATCCAATATACACATTTGAACTGAATAATCATTCATTTTATGAACAGTAGTGACGAGAAAGAGATAATAATAAGAACGGTTAAAAATTATGATAGTTGATTTAAAAAATCTATGGAGATTTGAGCGAATGCAGTAAAATTAGTCGAATAATACCTTGAGAAGTATCAATGGGTCGACTGAGAAGATAGAGAATGGCACGATCGAGCGTATGTAAAAGGGCATCTGACGGTGATGATGAACGCCAATCGGTACGTCGTCCCAACGCGATTCCTTTGAAGAGGAAGTCGAGTACACGCATCGGTTCACCCACATACAACGCTGAACACACAAAATAACGATTTCATTGCAATGAACCGAACTAAACGTATCAATTCCAATCGCTTCTTAAGAGTTCTAAACGATCGAGCACTTCAGATACTTCGATGAATTTCTTATGAGACGCTACTATTACAGTTTCAATACGCGCAACTGTATATCAACAGTTACAACAATAATAATCAACACACACACCACTCCATAAACAATCGACCACTCGAGAGGCAAAATATGCAAAATTGGAGAGCAACAAAGTTGGAGAAACTGGTGTTGTAGATGAGTTTGTGGCAGCTGATGTAGCGGTTCGTGATGAGCCGAGTAGAACGTCTGAAATAATAAGCAAGCATTAGTACGGTGAGAATGTTGGTAGTATTTGTTAAAGATTACAAAACATTGACGAAGGATGAAAGGAAGAAGCCAATTACTCGACTTTGACATACTTCAGATGATTTTGTGCTTTCTTGTTTTTTGTAAGGAATTTAGAAAGAATGATGTCTAACTACTAAAACACGATAAAAACAGTAACAAAAATAACAACTGACCTGTAGCAATCATATGTTCCATACACAGTGTTAGAATCTCAGAAAGAATTATCGAATGGAAACGTTTTGCAGGGCCACATTCGGGTACATTCTAGAATAAAGAAAATGACTAAACATGATCATGCGTAATATCATAACAAACTTCATACAATCAAGAAAACAGAGAATTTCAACGACTCGACTCACTTCGATTAAAGCGTCCACCAAAGAGTCTGGACGCCCACTGTGCGAAAGTGATACATCTTCGCATAAAATCCGTTTCAGTAAATCCAAAACACTTCGACAACATGCATTTTCTAACACTTAAAATATCGTCAACTGTTAATCACTGAGGCTATTATTGTCCGTAAAAAAGTTTACAAAAATGAATAATGCACGGTTCTCCACACAACTAATTTCGTCGTTAATTCGTTGTGTAAACGTGTCAAAGAAACGAAGAATGATCATTTCATGGACGCACGGATAAAGGAATGATGCTACGAGTTACTATTTTTGTTTTTATTTTGAATATGAATTAATCAACTAATGAAAACGAATATCAATTACTATATGCTAAGGAAATGTTAACGTAAATGTGTATAGTAATGAATCAATCAATGTAGAAATTTGCTCCAATTGTTTCTTTTTTTTTGACAGAGTGCAGAGAAGTGCTTTTCAACAATTTTGAATAAAGAAGTTCCAAGTTTAAAGTTTGAAGTCGAAATTTAACAATGCAGGTTTTAAAGAAATGCTTTCAGCAATTCGTCAAAAATAACAAACACTTCAATATGCAAATGAATGAATACCCGAATGTGCAATACTCGTAGTTGGTGTTATTGCCATTTGTTGCTGTGGTTGTGGTTGTTGTTGTGGATTTTGGGTGTGGGTGGTCGTCGACTGTGTTGTTACAACACCTAACTGTTGTGGTACCAGAACCGAGAACAGTCGCACGATAAACTCATCCGTATGACAAACATTACACAACTCCAGTGAGTTCTGATACAAGAACGTCAGCATTTGTATAACGGTTGCGGCGAATCTTTGCTGTTGTTGTTGTTGCATCTGAGCTTCATTATTCGTTGTCACTGATGGCAAACCATTTTCAGCGTCACTGTTCGTTGTGTCGTGTCCATTGTTAGTCTGAAAACAGAACGTCACTTGAATTGCTACTGTTTTATCATTCTGAAAAAGAGAGTAACATCGCTCGTCACTGAGACTTTTCTTTACTGCCCTCTTTAGAGCAAAAAAAAAAACTTTTCGAATGATCTCGATGAGACGACAATTGAATGAAAACGGAAAAATTGTTGAATTGAAAATATTACAACAGTAAGTTCGCGACAATCGAAATGCGTAAAATGACGAGTTCATAAAAAATTTTTGATGATACGATTGACCGACTTGTTGAGGTGACGACTGCGTGAGTGCGCCATGAACACATGATCGAACCATCGATAAGAGTGGAATGATGGCCTCGGGACAGAGTTGCGCTCGAGAAATTGCTTCAGAAACCGAACTTAAAATCAAACGTAAATAAACAGAAACACACAGACACGTGGATATATTCCAACATGTAATCAATGACAGCACACAACGAAAGCTTTAGCTACATCACATTCCATGAGCCGGCAATCACGATAATAATAATAATACTGATTAATAATAATAAATAATAACAATAATGACAGCACATGAAAATGACGACAATAACAACAACAAAAAGAAAAGATAATGGTAGCGGTAAAGAGAATGGTAATCAGTTCAAATACGTATAAGATATGACCCACCTGGACAGTGAAAGACCGAAGACATGCGACCAAATGAGATCCAGTGAAAAATCATCGATAAGCGTCATATTGGCCACCGGCTGTCCGACCAGAAGGGCCAACATTGCCAAATAACACTGAGGCTTATCTGAATGCGAGCACAGCAAATGCTCCAAAGCTGTGAAGCCACTGCATTCGGATAGCTCCGGATTGATATCGATATGTGCACCAACTGTGCCGCCGTGTGCTGCCACTGAAAATCCAAGCAAAACCTGAAATGTTGAGAATTTCACATATCATTTTCATTCAACATGTTTCTCGTAGTCAAATCTACTGGTTTCTTTTGTTTTTGTTTTTAGATGATTCAGATTCGCTTTTTTGATGCAGTTCACAATCGGATTTGTTCGCTCGTAAATGAAGACCGATACCTAGTACTCGCACTGTTATTATTATTATTATCATTATCAGAAGAGTGCTGATATTTCTTATCATGAGCATCAATAAAAGCATCACTATTCACGATTGCATCACTCACAGCTGCTCGATTGCGAACCACAGAATCCGCGTCCGTTAGCCAACCGCCATTCGCAGAACCCTCACGAAACTTGCTCAGCAGATGTTCGTGTCTTAGAAGCGACAAGAGAATTCTTAAGCCAATTACCACCGTTCCTTTATGTACACCTGGTGAGAACAACGCTAATGCCCAATCAAATCCCAGAACGCGTATAATTTGCTCACTCATTCTAAAATTCAATCATTTAAAGAACTATCAAACAAACAAAAAGAAAAAACAAACGAAACAACAAAATAACAGATCGATTGTGAAATAATACACTCATTTTCAGCTCTAAACCAATAATATACGCTAACTCGATCGGATTGCAATATCTTCATTTCAGGACCAATTAGGTCCTCTCTCAACTCCGCTTTAGTCCCCTCGCCATGAATCTCCTCCATTCGCCTTTGGATATGGATTTTGGCCACTTTAAAATAGTAACAAACCAGAAACAAACAAAATAACAAAAACTAACTGCAAATTGTTGCTCGGCGATGAGTGTGCAAGAGTGTTGGCTAAAATATTCAGAATTCGATTGCGAATATAAATCAAATACAAAGTACGATCAATTTCCGAGTCAGTGCCAGCAATTGTACATTTCTGTTTGAACAGTGCCGTTTGTAGATCTGGAATCGACAACGGATATTCCTCTTCGCATTGGTCGGCTGATGAGGATGGCAACGTTGCAGCCAACAACTGACCGAGTCTGTCAATAAATAATGATAGATAGATAGATCTGAGCGTTTCTATGAAAGGATTAATGGAGCAACAAACTACTCACTTGAGCAAAGAATTCGAATCTGATGGTGGCTGTATAATAGCAGCGATCAAATTGAAAACCACATCGTTGACAGCAAAAATGGCTTGCGGTGAATCAAACAAACGAATCATCAAACGTGACGGCAACGAACTGCGACGAACAATATTCAAATTTTCACGTTGTTGACTGTAAATATCGTTCGTTCATTCAAGATACATTATTTGTTTTCACAATGAACACACACAACACTCACAAAGAATGGCGATCAAAATTTCATGATTTAAGACATCTACTAGTTAGTTATTGCTTGTTAGAAAAAAAATGAAAAGACTAGTATCAACTTATGCAGAATGATACTGCTCACTCAGTGATCAACTCGTAGAAATGCTCGTAGAGAAGTCGACTTAAGTCAGCATTTACGTTACGCCATACATCCACATCACACAATAGATCCTCGAAGGTTTGAATGTTCGGTATGGCGACTGTATCACGACTTGTATCAACAGTACCCACCAGCGATAAGATCAAATGCAGAATATGCGAATTCAGTAATTCAATCTTCTCTTCCAGCAGCATTGCTAGCGTCTGAAACAAACAAATAAAATTATCATCACACTATCGGACTGACCACCTCCTCTCCTCCGTGCTCAAGTGGAAATCGATTAACTCTGATCCACTGATCGCATGCATTTAAAAAATTTCATCTGAATGCCTCCTAATCTCATCTTTCAAAACTCAATACATTCAGCATGATCTTCCAAGACATTCATCATGACTGATTAAATAAGTGTTAATAATTTCATAAACAATTATTAAGTATATCGAAGATGTTTGTGTGCAAATTTGAAAAAAAAATTTAGTTTTTCAAGTGAGAGAGCATTAGAACCACGAAAATAACAAACCTGATAGGAACGAGTCGCATTCAAATATGTTGAAATTGATTTGTCAGTTTTAACAGCCGCAGCAAGCGCCTTCAACGATGCGTACAATTCTTGTGAATCGGTGGCCATTGCCAATAAACCGAATAAACACGACACTCCACCGACTGACTCAAGCAGCCGAGTGACCGGTAACGGTGCGAATGTGCGCATTCCTTAATACAGAAACACTGTGAAAATATATCGAAATACATTCAAATGCTTGAAGCGAAGCACTGAACTCACAAACCACTGAAAATATTTCATTTGGATTCCGCAAGCATTATTCAACCCATCCAAATACATACTGAATATTATCACACACACTTAACACGACGACGACAACATGAACACAGCAAAACAAAAAACAACCAGAAGGCTGCTTATTACTGAGTCCAGAGTGTGATCAACATCACTGCCAATAAAGTGATGAAAAAAAAAAAGAAAGAAAGAGAAGAAACCTAAATATCCGAGTAAGACTGCGCCAAATGAACGCGCTGGACCAGGCGCATGTGAAACCGTATTGAAGAGCACACGTAACGGTGTATTGTGATCGTGTAACGAAACACCCAACTGTAAATTGCGTTAAATTCATTCCTCTTCAGCTTCGTTTCTTTCACTCAACTCAAATTTTATCATCTTCATTCAATAAGAAATTCATCGTTGTAACATTAACATTAACAACAAGTTAATGTCAACAATAAATACATCTCAAAATGCACAATGTCTGAATATGGAATATAAAAAAACACTTACGAAAGGCGCAATGAACGCAGCATCTGCTTTGCTGTACATCGAACCAATTCGTGCCACATTCAGCTCGGTATCGGCAACTGCCGATAGCGCTAAACAAATACGCTCTTCACTCACCAGTGGTGTTCCATCCGAATCGGCTGTCTGCAGTAATTGTTTTTTTTTTAATTCTTGCAAGTGAAAAACATTACGCACCTCTCTTTTACATCATCTTTTTTAGGGTGATTAGAAATGGGAAAGAGATTTTTTTTGGGCGAGCAATGCGATCGATCACTTCTCGAGATTGTCACCCAACGCTTCACGCGAACAATCACTCGAAACTCGCCCTCCTCAGCCCTCCATCTCTTACAAAAAACAGCAACAGTGAAAGTATTGAACAATCAACTTGTAAAAAACTTACGTTATCGTTGCGTTCAAACTGAAAATACAAAGACAAGAACAACATTTAAAAAAAACGACCAACCTGAAAATTACCAACGTAGTGCGGCTCAAGGCGATAGATTCGCTGGATTGCATCGGCGCTTAACGGCTCTTCAAAAATGAAGAAACTCGCTATTTTGAAGTGTAACCTCAAACGTAAAATCGATCTCTCTTCATATCATTACTAGTATTGCCATTATTATTTTGATAAATATTATTATTATTGTTATTACTATTATAAATATTATTAATATTATCATTATTATCATAAAAGTGTTACTATTGATTATCCAAAAGAATTGCTTCATTCGCAACTCGCTCACGATAAAGCACTCACTCACCTGCTCAATAAACGACAATTCGGTGGTGTTCCAACAATGGCGTGCACCGCACTTGTTGATGCCAGATGGGTGGCAGCACCGCCGACATTCTGCACCACATAATGCAATTTTTGTGAACAATGCAAACGGCCATTCACATAAACTGATACCTATATCATCATATCACTATTGAAGTAAGTTATCACGTAGCACATCAAAAGATTGATCATTAATCAAAAAATGAATGAATCCATCAAAGAGTGCATTCAAACAAACACAAACTTGGCTATGTTTAAGAACGGATCGTGTTAGAACAATTGCCAGATGTGTCCACTGACGAGTACAAATCACGTCGGCAAGAGCCACCCGAACCAAATCATCCGAGTTCAACTCAGCACAATCCTTCTCTAGATCACCACCAGCTTTATCACTTTCACTCGTACAAATCAGCAGTGAACGATCAATCGAACTCAACTGAACAATGCAAATGAACCAAAAACACAACCAAATACAATGCACTGCACTCGGTTACAATCTACCTCAAAAATAAACAACTTTTTATCACAACTAAATGATAAACGATAGTTAACGTAAAACATATTTAACGTACACTTCAACATTTAACACATGGTTTATCGACACACATATGTCTGTTATCATTAACATATTGTCTCTTCTTCACATCAAATTGAGAATAAAACAAAAAAATTTGGTTTCCACGAGAAACTTGACTGAAGTATGATATTACCAGCAAAAAAAAAAGATCATTTACCGCTAATGATAACGACAATAAATGCGTCGCACTCAATCGACGTCGCACTAACTCAAAACGGAATCACCTGAATTGTAAGACATGTTAACGTTTGACCACTGCTATCGTGTTGCTGCGATTGCTCAACACCACTCATCATCACGCCTGTGGCAGTTTTCTTTGGTGCTGAATTGTTGGAATGAGAACGAAATATTGACAGTAATCGAAC